AATTCCTTGCAGTGCTACTGCTGGGTCATAGGGGAGTTCTATTGTTAGTTTCCTGAGGAACCTCCACACTGTTTTCCAGAGGGGCTGTACCAGTTTGCATTCCCACCAACAGTGTAGGAGGGTGCCCGTTTCTCCACATCCTCGCCAGCATCTAGAGTTCTCTGTTTTGCTCATTTTAGCCACTCTGACTGGCGTGAGGTGGTATCTCAGTGTGGTTTTGATTTGTATTTCCCTGATGAGGAGGGATGCTGAGCATCGTTTCCTGTGTCTGTTGGCCATCTGGATGTCCTCTTTGGAGAAGTGTCTGTTCATATCTTCTGCCCATGTCTTCACTGGGTTGTTTGTTTTTCAGATGTGGAGTTTGGTGAGTTCCTTATGGATTCTGGATATTAACCCTTTATCTGATATGTCATTTGCAACTATCTTTTCCCATTCCATTGGTTGCCTATTAGTTTTGTGGGTTGTTTCCTTTGCTGTGCAGAAGCTTTTAATCTTGATGAGGTCCCAATCGTTTATTTTTGCTCTTGATTCCCTTGCTTTTGGGGATGTGTCAAGTAAGAAGTTGCTGCAATGGAGGTCAAGGAGGTTGTTTCCTGCTTTGAAAATCTATTTTTAAGAGTTGGTGTAATTTAGTCTAACTTTAGATTTAATTTAAAAATTTTTAATGTTTATTCATTTTTAAGAGAGAGAGAAAGGACAGAGTATGAGTGGGGGAGGGGCAGAGAGAGATAGAGACACAGAATATGAAGCAGGCTCCAGGCTCCTAGCTGTTAGCACAGAGCCTGACTTGGATCTTGAACCCACGAACTGCGAGATCATGACCTGAGCCATAGTCGGACACTTAACCGACTGAGCCTCCCAGGCTCCTAGATTAAGTTTAATTTTAATTTTAATTTAATTCTAATATTTGTCTCTATAAAACTAAATAACATGTAAAAACATAAATCACTTGTTCTCAAACTTCTTCATCTTTTTGGACCCCTTTACTCTCCTAAGAATTACTGAGGACTCTAAACAACTTTTATTGTACTATACCTATCAGTACTTAAAATATTAGAAATTAAAACTAAAAATTTTAACTTTCAGTCATTAAAAATATTAAACCCATTACATGCTGACATAAAAATGTTTTGTGAATAATAACTTATTTTCCAAAAAAAAATAGAACAGCCTGTAAATTCCTATAAATTTTTTAATGTCCAGGTTATAGAAGAAGCTACTTCTCATATCTTTTCTTCATTAATATCTTTCGATATACATATCATGTAGCCTCTGGAAACCTCCACTGTACACTCCAAGAATGAGAGTGATAAAGGCAAATAGCAGCTTATTATTACTGTGGGTAAAGTCTTGAGCTATGGGTCACCAGAAAGCGTTTCAGGAACTCCAAGAGTCCTGGGACCACACTTTGAGAACTGCTGTTTGATATCATACAAATGTAAGCTACTATTTTATTTTTTGTTTAGCCATTTTGTCAACAAGTAGAACATTTAGTGGAAAGAGGAACAAGACAGAGAAAATTTACAGACTACACCAGTCATAAATGTGAGTATTCTTTCTTCATTCTTCAAAACCATTGGGTAAGTTAGAAGACTCAGGGTTATAACTACTGCATTAGAAATCAGTCCACCAATCCAATACCATCATTCAAGTTGCTGTGCAAAGTAGTTCCTCCCACATGAATATAGAATATCCCTAAAGTGGGTTTATATTCCCTGCACAAAGTAAGTATCAAGACTCCAATAAAATTTGAGGTCAGAATTATTTTCATAGGCATATATTAAATGCCTACTTCAGGCAAGGCTCATAACAGGTGCTGAGCTTATAAAAATTTAGAAGCACAGTTCCTGCCCTTGGGCAGCTTATTTATATAATGAGACTTACATCTGGTATAAATGTCTTTTTTGCCACATTCCATAGTTCCCAAATCGGTTTAATGATCAAATATCTCAGGATTACCTGGAGAAAATTGAAAAATACAGATTTCTGGATCATGAAATATGCTGTTTAAGTGGACCAGGGTGGTGCTCAGGAATGTAGGAATTTGGATTTTTAAAAAGTGACCCAGGGGGGCGCCTCAGTGGCTCAGGGGGTTTAGCGGCTGACTTTGGCTTAGGTCATGATCTCACGGTTCGTGGGTTCGAGCTCCACATCAGGCTCTGTGCTGACATATCAGAGCCTGGAGCCTGCTTCAGATTCTGTGTCACCGTCTCTCTCTGCTCCTCCCCTGCTCATGCTCTCAGTCTCGCTCTCAAAAATAAATAAAAACATTAAAAAAAAAAAAGTGACCCAGGTGATTCCCATACAATGAGAAATACATGCAACAAACAAATGGATTTGGTCTTTGCCCCTAGTACTATCACACATAAAATATGATTTATTTCATCTCCAATAGTTGAAAAGTATATCACTGTTAAAAGATTTGTATTATCAAGAGACAGAGTACATATTTAATTTCATTCAGTGAAAATAGAAATGGATGTACTTATTTCAAACATTTTATAGTTCATTTGCCTTTATCAAATAAAAATAATATGAGACATTACCACAGCAATTTCCAACATATCACAGCACCGTAAAAAGCAAAACATCTTTTGCAACAAGCATCTACTGTAGAAAGTGTTATTTCATGGAGATTTGATTCAATTTCTTTAAAATGAATTCAATGAGATGTCCCATGTTGCATTTCACTTATCTACAGGGTTCCACAGATTATGTGATAGTATGTATTTCAAAATCTATGCAGTCTTCCATCACAAATTTCTTTTGATGATACAGCATATTTGAATAGTTATACAGACATTGAGGATCCATAGTTACTGTTGCAGGGAGAATTCTTTGCTAATAATTGTAGCCAGAGCTAATTAAATTCAAGTAAATAAGAAAAATCCAGAAAACAAGCTATTCTTACCACAAAGGGGAAAAAAGGAAATAGCTAAATCAGCCATATATGTGATGATTTGTAAAAACCAATATATATTCCTTTTGGTTTTTTTAAAAATTTTTTTAACATTTATTTGTTTTTGAGACAGAGAGAGACAGAGCACGAGCTGGGGAGGGGCAGAGAGAGAGGGAGACACAGAATCTGAAACGGGCTCCAGGCTCTGAGCTGTCAGTACAGAGCCCTATGCAGGGCTTGAACCCACGAACCGCAAGATCATGACCTGAGCCAAAGTCGGATGCCTAACTTACCAAGCCACTCAGGCACCCCCTTGATTTTATGATCAAAACTAACTTCTGGGCACCTGGGTGGCTCAGTCGGTAGGGAGTCCAACTTCAGCTCAGGTCATGATCTCACAGTTCGTGGGTTCAAGTCCCTCATCGGGCTCTGTGCTGACAGCTAGCTCAGAGCCTGGAGCCTCTCTTCGGATTCTGTGTCTCCCTCTCTTTCTGACCCTCCCCTGCTGGTGCTGTCTCTCTCTCTCTCTCTCTCTCTCTCTCTCTCTCTCTCTCAAAAACAAACTTAAAAAAACAACATAAAATTTAAAAATAAAAAAACTAACTTCAACCTTAGAGGTTCCCTGCCCAGATCTTGACTTCTAAATACCTGTCCCCATGGAAAGTAACCAGAGCTTCTTAGAGAGACAGCTAATTTGAGGGCTAGGGAAGGAAGAACAAGATGACCTGAGCCATCTTATGCCAGAAATAAGGAATGCTCAGAAAACAAAATGGGGGCATGTCCACAAGAGTCAGCTAAAAGCGCCTCTCATTGGCCAAAACTGGTATAACTCAAGTACGAAAATAAGAACAGTAATGAACTATGATCCACTGAATAAAATAAAATCCATGAGTCTGTATTAATGTAAGAGAGAGAAATGAGGGAAAGGGGAAAGATGATCCTAAAAAGAGAATGCCCATGATTAAATACAGAAAGAGTGACAGAGTTGCAACTATTGTAGAAGAGATGGGTTTGGGGAAACATCATCAAATGGATTCTAAATCCAGGGGGAAAGCTTGATGAAAAGCAGCATATTTTCATGTTTTCAGAGTATCCCCCCACATACTGTGTATTCGTTGGAAGGGGAAAATAGTAACTATACAGTGGGGAAACTAGGCAACACTTTCATCAGTCATCATGTGCTTCCTGATGTGATATCCTCAGAAAGTCATATCACTTGAATCTAATCATGGGGGAACATCAACCAAACCCATACTGAGGAACATTTTATGAAATAATCATCATGAAAGATTTAAAAAAATGCTGAGGAACTAACTGCTCCATATTAAAAGGAAGTAAAGACTTAACTACTGACATTAATATATGATCCTCAACTGGAACTTGTACCAGGTGGGGGAAAATGCTAGGGAATATTTATTGGAACAATCGACAAAGTTGGAATATGGACCATAGATTAAAGTAGCTCCCACATTTGGTAACTTTGTGATAATTATATAAAAGAGTATCCTTTTTTTTAGTAAGTATATTCTAATGTATGAAGAGCTAGGGGGCATGATGTATGCAATCTATTGTCAAGTGCTTTGGAAAAAATAAAGCAAAATATCTAGAAAGAGAATGATAAAGCAACTGCAGCAAAATTTTAAAAGTTGGTGAATTTGAATAAATGGTATTCAGGTGTTCTCTGTCCTATTCTTGCAGTTTTTCTGTATGTTTAAATTGTGTTACAAAAAGAAAAAAAGTTAAGGGCTCTCCAGTTTCCCTCCCTTAAGATTCTTTCCAAAATGGACCAGAACATTGATCATGAACCTTTTCACTGCTTTTAGTCCATTTATTTCCACTATCCTTATTAGAGTCAAGTGGTAGTTATATGTTATAATTTTAGTTGATTATATACAGACGATAAGAGGGAAAGCAGTGAAGTTTAAAAGGCCAAACAATTTTCTAATCCCAGTTGCAGGGACTTTCTATATATGCAACCGAGATTTTATACTAGAGGTTTTAAGAAATTGACTAATTGAGCCAGTTGTTCAGTTGAATCAAGGCTAAAGCAAAGGTAGTATATGTGTTTCAGTTTCCTCACATTATTAGTTTTCAACCTCCTGTAACCATCATCTGAAGATTTCTTTACAATATTGGTAAGTCAGAGTTTTTCCCTATTTTTAAATTTTAGTTTGTGTCATAATTTTTAAAAATTATTTTTAAATACAAAGGTATACATTCCCTTAATTCAAACAATTGAGAATTAATAACTACTAGTAAGCTTTGATTCCTTCTAGACTCTTTTCCATGCTTCTATCAATGTGTGTATCTGTATGTGAAGACAGTTTTTTCTAAAATGGAAATCATTCTGCACAATTTGTTCCTTTTTCTCTTATGTAACAGGTAGTTTTTAATTTAATTTTTATTTTCTCTGTGCTGTGCATATATAGTTTTTTATATGTAGTTTTAAGACAAATAATTCAGCTAATGAAAGTCTTTTCTAATCAGTATATAACTCAATCACATGGTTTAAAATTCAAAAAGTACAAAGGTGTACACTATGAAAAGTCTTCCTTCCACCTCTATCCCTGAGATAACTAAATCTACTCAAGGGTAACAAATGACATTAGTTTTTATGCATCCTTCATGCATATACAAATTTACATATATAAACACATATATATATATTTTTTTTAATTTTTTTTAATGTTTTATTTATTTCTAGGAGAGAGAGAGAGAGACAGCGTGAGCAGTGGAGGGCCAGAGAGAGAGGGAGTCACAGACTGAAACAGGCTCCAGGCTCTGAGCTGGCAGTCAGCACAGAGCCCGACGCGGGGCTCGAACCCACGAACCGCGAGATCATGACCTAAGCGAAAGTCGGACGCTTAACCGACTAAGCCACCCAGGCGCCCCTAAACACATATATTTTGAAGATCTTTTCATATCATTATACAGAAGGCTTCCTTAGTTTATTATACAGCCATGTGGTATTCCACTGTATAGATATGCCTTTATTTAATCAGTCACCTGATTTGTTTAATCAGACATTCAGAGCATTTCCAATGTTTGTTCTTTCAAATAATCTAATTTATATTAATTCATACTCCCAAAAAAATGTTTCAGAATGCCTGTTTACCCATATTCTCCCCAAAACAGTGTTGATCAAACTTCTGGATCATTATCAATCAACTTGGTAAAAGGTGATATCTCAGTGTCTTAATTTTCCTTTCTTTTATGTGAGGGAAGGTGAACTTCTTTTTATAAATTTAAGACCCATTTGTCTTTTCTTTTTCTTTGAATTGTTTGTTTATATTCTGTGCACATTTTTCCATTGGGTTTATTTTTTTTAACGTGATATGTAAGGGCTCAATGTAGGGTAACTAACCATACTCTCACCATATACCTTCCCAATATAACCATATGATAATATTTGATTAAATTAACATATTTGATTTAGGTGATTATAACTACGTAAACATAGTTATAACTGAGTTATAAGGACTATTAGAATCATCTCTCCTTCTTATACCATTTCTGTTTTTCCTATAGTTAATAGTTGGCTCATTTCTTAACTTTGTTTAGTTTTTTTATGTGACTATTAGTAATTCCTCTTTCAGCCCTTCAGCAGAGGTACCACTGTAGTTTACATACACCAGATGTAGCCCTGGTAGTTTGTGCTACCAACATCTCTTGCCTGAACTACTGGAAAAATTACCTCCTTAGGCAATCCAGTTGTCTCCATATTATGTCCCTGCTTCCACCCTTATCTGCAAAGTCTTTTCTAACATGGCAGCTGGAGCGATCATCTTAAAATGAAAAACCATTTCCCTCCTACAATGGGTCTTCATTTCCCTCAGAGAAACCCCAGTCACTATAGTGAAAAAAAAAATATTACCTCTCTGACCTCATTTTCTCCTACTGCTCTGGTATCTACCCCTCTCACATTTGTCTACCCCCTCTGGCCATTCTCTCTGCCTGGCAAGTTCTTCTGAAGCCACATGACTAATTTCCTAATTCCCCTCATATATTGGCTGAATGTCACTTTATGGTGAGGTCTAGCCTCACTATCCTATCTTAAATTGTAATACACACTCTTTTCTCCCCAACCTAGAGCAATTATAATCTTCCTTACCCAGTTTTACTTGTTCTTTTTTCATACCTTTTATTGCCTTCTAATATAAACTTTATTCATTATGCTTGTTATCTTACTCTTTATGCTAGAATGAAAGCTCAACGAGAATAGTATGTTGTTCACTATCTTGTTAACTTGGTCACTAAATAAATATTTATTATGAATGAATATATTTTCTCTTAATATGTTCAAACTCATCAGAAAAGCTATCATTTCCAATTTTTGTGTCTGTTGGAACCCACCTCCCCTCCACCCCTTCTCTATCTTTTGTTTTCTTGTCTTCCTATACAGCTGTCATCTGTGAACCTGCTTCATTATCAGTTTGGGTATCATATTCACCTCTCTCCTTTGGTAGATCTCCTAGGATGTAGGCTCTTTGTCCTCCTGGCTTTTCTCCCACTTTTCAATCAGTGATTCCTTTTTCTTAGCTTTCTTTTTTGGTGGCAAACTGTTTCTTTTTGGTGGCAAACTCCTAAGAAAGAAAGCAAAGTTTCTGAGATTTTATATGTCTGAAATTGTCTTTAGTCCATCTATATGCTTAATTGATTAAATGACTAGGTATAAAACTCTAGATCAGAGATAATTTTCCAAGACACTTGGCTGGCTCAGTCAGTGAAGCATAGAACTCTTGATCTCAGGGTTGTGAGTTCTAGGCCCACGTTGGGTACAGAGATTATTTAAAAATGAAATCTTTAAATGGGACACCTGGATGGCTTAGTCGGCTAAGCATCCAGCTCTTGATTTCAGCTCAGGTCATGATCTCACAGTTTGTGAGATCGAGCCCCGTATCAGCATGGAGCCTGCTTGGCATTCTCTCTCTCCTCTCTCTCTCTTGCTGTCCCTCACCCTCCCACCCTCAAAATAAATAAACATTAAAGAAAGAAAGAAAATAAATAAAATATTTTTAAAATAGAAGAATATTCCTTGAGAATTTTTAAGACACTCTACCACTATTTTCTAGCTTCCAGTGTTGGTCTCAAGAAGTGAGATGCATTTTTTTTTCCTGAAAGTTCTTAGGGTCTTCTCTTTTTTCCCCAGAGCATGTTGTACCCTGCTATGGGCCTTTCTAAAATTTAATTTGCTGGCCATTCAATAAGTCCCTTATTAGAGGACTTCTGTCCTTTGGTTCTAAGAAAACTTCTTGATTTATTTCTTTGATAATTTCCTCCTGTTTATTTTCTCTCTTCTCTCTAGAATTTCTTCAGATTTAGTAAGTATTTTTCAGAATCATTCAGCAGATTGGTGTCCTAATTGTTATTTATTAGACATAACTTGCCCAATAGTACCGAAAGAGAACTGATATGAACAACATATTTCAGGATTTAATAACACATAAAATTCTCAATCAAAAGTCAAAATTAGTAGACTTCTACTTTCTAATAACTGAGCTAAAGATGTCTTTAAGGCCCAACAAGGGGTCATCTCCCCTTTTAAGGATCTTCAAATGTTCTAAAACTTAGAATAGTACCTGGCACATTGTGGGAAATTAGTAAATATTAATGGAATAAGTGGATGTCCTTTGCAAGTATTTGCACTTAAATACATTCATTGGATAATAAAAATAAATACCACACACACACACACACCAAGCAGCATTATTTCCATAAAGTCCTACTTTTTATCCCTTAAAACATTTAAAATTATTAGGATCTAATATTTACATTTCTGTTACATTTACTTTTATGTCAACCTAGAGTCATAGTTCACAATGACTCTAGAGAAAATGGAGCTCTTTTACTACAATGGAAAAGTATCATTTTTGATATTTCAACGGTTCAGTATCATTTTGATACTTGATACTGATTGTCAACAATGTAATATGAAGGTTTTTTCTATTAAGTGCTGGATATCTTCCAAAGTGTAGGACTTAAAAATAAGCCAAGAAAGTATAATGGTACTTCTTTTTTCCCAAATGAAACTTCCTTTCATTGTTCTTGATGGGCATTGTATGATTTTGTCCAAAGCCAAATGAATACAACTAATATTTATTTTGGGAAATCAAAACAAAAATACTCAAGGAATCCACAGCTTTCTCACCATGGAAGAGAATGGTCTGTGAGACACAAGGTAGCTGAATTTGGTCCAGCATCTGTTGGCTTTGGGGAATGCCTAGGGTTTGTTGTTTCCATTTATTTTTGCTTTGCGCCAGAAATAAAGTACACCAAAATTATAGTATTGCTGCCAGTATGAGGAAAAATATTAATAAATCATGAACTATGTTTCTTTTACTTCTTTAGTCCTTTTACCTTCTGTATCTACTTCTGCCAATATGCTTTACTTAACAGCACATAGAAACACAGGCCCTTAATATTTCACAATCACCATTAAGAGCTAAGAACAAGTGGAAAAGTAGAATTTGAATTATGAATTGCTTTTATCATAAAACTTAAAAATAGTTTTAGAAAGAAAGTTCTGCTGTACATAATTACATCATCCCAAAGCTGCAAAATGGCACTTATATAATAGATAGATGTACCTTCTAAGATCAAAAACCCAGGAGAAATTGTGATTGCTCATTAAGACTCTAAAACCATTCAATAGTTTACATGTAAATTTGCATTAGTATTAATTTTTAAAGAAGTGTTCTAATTGTAAGCCATCTATTGATCTATATAGTTTTTCAAGAAATTGTTTGTACTTGCTATAAACAGCTGTGAGTTTAATCTAATGGGCTAAACTCTTGTGTAAGTGTATCAGTTTGAATCTATGGAGAAGCAGACACAGAGATTAGATGTGCAAGGGATTTACTAGAGGGAGTGCTTATGAAAGAGAAAGGAAAGGGAGTAGGAGTAGACAGGGAGAGTGATGCAGGGACATCTGTGACAGGGAAGAGGTAAGGAAGAATTGAGTGGGAGGAGCCTCAGGTTGTAGAGCAGTTCTGGGGCAGCTGGATGGCTCGGTTGGTTAAGCATCTGACTGCTGCCTAGGTCATGATCTCGTGGTTCATGAGTTCGAGCTCCATGTCAGGCTCGATGTGCTGACAGGTCAGAGCCTGGAGCCTGCTTTCATCCTGTGTCTCCCTCT